TTAAGTTACAAAAGCCACTGAATCCTGAAATAGCTAAAAATGTAAAGAAAGCACTCTCTGATTCAGAGAAGAGAAAAGAGTCAAGAGGAAATTTAAGTCTGCCAAGATAAAAATCAACTCAGCCATTCTTGAAAAATATTTCGGTCCCGTAATGCCTAGATGATCAAGTCAAAAAGTTAAAATCCAAGATAGATGAGTAATGACCTAAAGCTGTACTCACATAATTGTCATTAAAATACGAAAAAAATATATGAAAAAAATCTTTCAAATAAAATAATCCGAACGGATGAAAAAATCAACCTATGACGAAAAAGGTGATGAATGCAAGGTTCCACGCATGCCCGCCGAGATTTCAAAAAGTGTAGAGCCTATGGGGGTAACACAAAGCAACCGATTTAATTAAGAGAATTAATTAAGAATTAAAATAAAATAATCCATAATTAATTAATAATTAAAAGAAAATAATCCAGAAATCGGAGACAAACATGAAGAAAACTCCCTTTAACGGTATTTGGACAAGAAGTCGGAGATCCAGTAAATGAAGCCCCAAGACATATTTGTTTGAAATAAGATATTCTAATTTTTTTTTTTTTTTTTTTTTTTGCATAACATTGGGAAGAAAGAAAGATTTGAAAGCAATTAAGTTCAATTAGAAGAACAGCTTGCGCTTCTCCTTAATTTTTTGTTTCAACTTATTTTTACAGGGTATTATTATTACAGTAATTTTATCAAAATTAAAAAGTTTGAATTTTTGCTTACGCCAAAAAAGGTTTCTAATTTTGAAGCTGTAACTGGATTTGCAAAGTAAAAGCATGTTTGGTACTACCTTCTACAGTGACATTGGTCTGAGAAAACGGCGTTGGAGCAATTCGGACATAAGAATGTGCGATTTTGAAAATTAGGAAAAATAGCAATCTTATTTTACTTAGATTTTTGCCATAGCGAAAACGAAATTTTTGCAATTAATGGAATTTGTGAAGAAATGTGGTGAAGTGATAATAAAGGAAGATAATATAACAGTTTTTCATTGCGATGACCAGGGCTCCAATCAGCCCATCAACTAACGAATGGCGAAATTTGTAAGTATGGTTTTAATCCTAGAAAATATCACTATCGATTGCGGCTAAAGTTGCAAAGAAATTTTTGAAAATGTAAATATTTTGATTGAAAGTTTAATGGAAATTTTCGTCACGGCAGTTAAAGGATTTTAACAGTGGAATTTTGTAGCTGAATAATATATTATCTTGTCTGTAAAATTAAAGAGAAAGTTTTAGCACAAAAATGAAAAGTTCAAATAATTTACACGGAAATAAATGTTTAATAAAACAAATAAATAAGTACTGAGCATTTTTTTTTTTTGGAAATTTGGATTTTTTTTAAAAGTCATAAATACTTTATTATTCATAAAAGAACTATTTCATATTTTTTATTTTATAGTTTCTACGTGTCATCATATTAGATTTGAACTAATGATCTAAAATCCGGATTTATTCTGGATTTCGGATTTGCATTTAATAACAATCGTAATGCTTGATCGACTAGTACTTAAGTGTTAATGAGTGTCAATTATTAAACGAATCTTTATAGTAGTTGCAAACATAACTGGATGAAAAAGATAATATTAGCGAAATCGTTTCTAAGCTTTTAAAACTTTTAATTTAATTTGGTAAAATTATGTCAAAGTGCATCAGGGACTACAAGACAAAGAATCTCTAATTGCTCAAAGTGTAATTTCTGTTAAGCGAACAAAAGTTAAGTTCATCATATAAAAGCCGACTTACTGATTTGTTTCGGTTTGACTAACCAGTTCTTTATTTAAATTTAGTCATGATTTACTCCTACTTAGCCTACAGCTTTGTCTCAGATAGTAGAAGAAACAGAGGATATAATTTCTGGGAGGTCTTACTTTGTCTCGGGTAGGTCAATCAATCGCACTTCCTGGAAGCAAAAGTTCACGGAAATGTTTCTTAACCACGCACAAGCTAAGAGTAAGCTAGCAGAGCTGTTTTGGTTTGATTTATTTTTATTATGGCAAACCACTCGAATGCTAATCTGCCAAAACGGGACGGATGTCTTCGTGGAGGACTTTCTAAGGTAAACTGGCTCGTATACACTTTACATTTCGTGGGGAAAACCACGGAAACGCTTATGCAGCCAGCCTGTTCTCTGGGATTTGCACTCTGTTCCGAACTAACAGTGTTCAACGACTGTAGCGCTCGGCCGCTGGGAGGCGCTAGCAGAGCTGATAGCGATTTAAAGGTTATTAAGTAAACAAATTAGCAGTTGATTGACAGCGTGCTGCGGCTGTGAATTATTTTAGCTTATTAGTTACAGTACCAAGTTTAACAGAAAGATTTTAGTTTATTCAAACATTTCCTTCAGCAAAGTTCCGAGTACTTTTAATTAAAGTCCTGAAAAAATTTTGAAATCTGTTTTCTGCTCTCTGCAAACTGGTTAGAAAACTTTTGGGTTATGATTTTTTTAGTTTTTGTCATTTTACGAGTTACTTTGTAGGGACGATGAACTAAAAATAATTACGTACGTATTTGCGTAACCACCTTGGCACAGTTTGGCGAATTTAACGGAAGAAAAGAATGATGACTTAAAAATTAATTGCTACATGCTTACATATTTTATATCGTATTTAGGTATTTATCCCAAAATATAATCAACGAAGCTATTAATCAACGAACCTTTAACCAAAGAGGGTTTTTCTTTATTTTAATCCGGTGAAAATTTCGTAACGATCGCCTTGAGAAGCCTGTAATGATTTTGTGGCAAAATACCGTATTCGTTCGTAAATTTTACTGCATTTTTTACTTCCTTGTACGAAGTAAAAAGGAAGTACTGTAATCGCGAAAAGTTTCAGGCAGCATATTTCAACGAAAATATCCATTTTGACCGCTATCGAATGCAATTTAACGATGTTTTTGCGTGATATCTGTACGTAAGGACAGAATAAAATACTCTTTTCCTTCAAAAAAATTATAAAACTGCTTTAAAATTAATTCTGAAGAGAATTTTTCGTGGCGTCTGTACGAACGTATGTACGTACGTGCGTACGTACGTATCTCGCATAACTCAAAAACGAGTAGCCTCAGAACGTTGAAATTTTGTATATAGAACTGCTATAACATGTAGATGTGCCCCTCGTATTTTGGTTGCAATCGGCCGCACCAAACGTATATAAATTTTTATATATATATATATCCACTCTATTACCCGGCTCAGTAATCTCAGTTTCTTTACTCTTATATGTTTGCAAATTGTACATTTTTTGCTTTAAAAATGATTGAATTATGTTGTTTTTATCTTCCGGTTAAGGATTTTTATGCCTTTAGTAAATCTGTGTGCAATATTTTTGGAATTATCAAGCAATTTTAAAGTTGTTTAATTGCCGCTAAGCCTGTTTTTTAATGGCGGCCATTGATGTTTACATTTGAAACAGGAGACTAGTGGATTTGTTGCCAATCTAGAGAAACTTAGCTTCGCAACAACAAAGATAACGCCATTCATTTATTATTGCCAATTAAATCATGCTTAATTCTTTCTGGAATTTTTTCGAGGAAATAAGCGTTTGAGATTTATTTCGTAATTTTCAATATAGATATTTTGAGTTTTTATGTATTTTTGCCTTGTCGCGAAGTGAGAACTGAATTAATTAAATGAGAAATACTCAATCGTCTGTGAAAAACTGTTTCTTTTTTGTTTTGTTTGCTTAATTTCTTTTATACATAGCTCTAGCTTTATTATAGTATTTGAATAGAACATGTGGCAACGATTAGATAATTCTATTCTTTAAATGATATAAATTTTGTGCATTCTGAGTTATAATATGAACGAAATATAATACTGTTAAGTAAACCTAGCGCCAGAGTGTCGCTATGGTAAACAAAGTGAATTTTAAAGAATGCATTTATTCTATTGTGGTTTATGCGTGGTCGGCGAAGTAGGTTTAATTCAATCTAATAAGTTTAAATAAAATGCAAGAAAAAATGCGTATAATTTAATATTCCGTACAAGGAAGTCATGTGGTGTATACATCAGATTTTTACTTACTGTAGGCAAATGATCCCATATTTTCAAATTGAGCTTGTGAACAAACAAGCAAACAAAAAATCGAAGTTTGTCCATAAAAACTGTTAGAACTTAGAACGAAACAAAAAAGAATTAAAACTGAAGACTGGCAGAATGTTAAAACAAAAGACTTATGCTGTACACTAAGATAGTGAAGAAGTCTCTTGGTTGCCAGAGTTTGGCGCATTTTGAAACTCTGATAATTCCTCCTAAAGTGATTGTGATAATATATAATTGACATAATAGCAAGGTCAATTGTTTTACTAAAACCTAAGAAGTACTGGAATAATTAAATGCAGATAAAATTCACTGCCTTTCAAAAAATCGGAAATTTTGAATTTTGCATCTCCTTCTCATTAAAAATGCTTTTTTGTGTGTGTGTGGGGGGGTGGAGTTGAGGGAACTGATGCGTAATTGATGCAGTTTTTATTTTTCAGTCGGCGTCCAAATATCGGGACTAACATTTATCACAGATTGTACAATCTGTGATAAATGATTATACAATTCTGACCTGCATAATCTTTTCTGTAAGTCAAAAATAATTATAATTACCCAAATGAGGGAATTTTATCTTATATTTTTGTTCATCGTATTTTCATTTTAACAAAAGTAATACTGTTAAAAAATAATATTATTTGCTGAGAAGTTTCGGAATGACTGAAATTCTTGATAACTTGAGTCTTAATAATTTGAGTTTTGCTGCTTATTTATTTCATTGCGTCTGTGGTATACAGGAGCTATAAAAAATTGAATAGCATTCTCTATATTATTTTCTGATTAATTTTTTAATTCTTCATTTCTAATAGCAGAATACATTTATTTTTAACTGTTAAAATAATTATTTTTCAAGTGTTTAATAGAGACAAATGGTCTGACAATGATTTTAACAATTACAGCCATGACTAAAGATTCTTCTCTCATAGAAGAGGAGGCGGAAGAATACGATGAGAAACTTTCTTCATTCATTCGCGAAATTCTGGAGAATTTTCGAGAGCAGATGCCGGACGGTATTCCCGACATCGGAGTTCCTCCTGTAGATCCGCTTGTAATTCCTAATATCGATGAAGACATTGATGATGGCATCGCAAGGATGCAGCTGCGCATGCGTCAGATCAACATTACCGGTATTTCCAAGTTTGAAATCAAACTTCTGAAAGCTGACTTGGAGAAGGGTTTCGCAAATTTCAGTATTTCTGTGCCTGAACTTACAGCTGATGGCTACTGCTTCATGAACGGCAAGATCTTAGGAATATTCCCCATAAGCAGCGATGGACCATTCTTCATTCATGTCACTCAGGTAATTTAAAAAATGTCAATCTTTTGCATTATTAAGGTTTGGTTACAATAAGATCTCACTTACTGTCACTTCAGTTAATACTGATACTATGGACGGTTCATTACTATCCTACAACATCGAATGATTTCACCTGTTATATGTTTCCAGTTGGAGGAAATACGCTCTCACAAAACAATACAAATGATTTAAAGTAAGTGATCGTGGGATACATTTATCTGCAGATTTATTATAGTTGTCCGATTGTTGTCGTATGTTTAAAATTATAGAGGTATTTGCTATGTAATATAGAGACTACTGACTTTGACACAAAACCGGACTAGCTTTGGGTGTAAAATCTTATAAAAGCTCCAAAGGACCGTGCGGTTAATAAGTGTGAATTGACGCCTTTAAAAAATGGTCTTTTAAAAAGACGAATGACGAAATCCCGTTGAAAATATCTGTGCTTTGCCAGTTGTGAATAATAAACGAAGTTTCTATAATCTAAAATGAACACCAAATATCGAACCAAATTTTGCGGCCTAAATGCAGGAAAGTACTTTTTTAACAGTAAACGGTAAAAAAATTCTTTCAAAGAGAGAAATTAAACTGACGCTGAAGGGAAATCCTACGCCTTTAGGCTAAATAAGTAGAAAGCAGAGTTCTGTGCTAGTATGTATTTACCTTGACATTGGAGCTTCCATGAATAATTTCGCATAGAACCCAGCTCTTAATCATTTATCATCAATTCGATGCC